GAGATTCATTCTTCTTCAATTGTTATAAATGTTTCACGGAAAGTTATAACAATTCCGTCATCGGAAGTCGTTTCCTTGTATTGTGTCGTGATTTTTCGTTACAACGCTCGCATTGGCGTTGCTTGATGTTTCATCTTCTTTTTATCTTCTTTTCTATCATTCTTTTCTATCTATTCGATGGAATCGTTTCATATGTATATTTGTTTCTGATATTTGATTGTCGAGTGAAGGACAGACGTAAAATAATTACACTCCCTTTCTTATGCACGCAAAAATGATGCTGCTGCATGACGCACGAACGAAGATATCTCGGAATGAACTTCGTGGTGTCACATTATTAATTCAAAGCGATTTCTCTAAAATAAGACGTCCGCGGCTGGATGAGTTATAAAGAGTTTTATCTAGGAAGCGCTGTTATAATTGGATCTGGTCCACGGTTTCTTAAACGATACGATGTCGAAGACTAATTCAACGAATTCAATTATAAAATTTCGTTTTATGCAATAGCAATCTTTCTCGATTCGAATAAATTAAATTATAAATATAAAAGACACGAATATATCTAACAGTATATTATATACAGCGACTGATAAGTGTACTTATGACCAGACAAAAAACTAATTTAAATAAATATTTTTAAAGAATCATTCGTTAATTATTAAATGTAATTTATACGAAAATATATGTATTGATGTGAGAAATGTTTTAGTTATAGTAACAAAAAATAGAAATAAAATCAATTTTGATTATACTAATTAGAATTCTGGTTATCATAATTGCATTTCGGTATCTCGATAAAATGTTTGATAAATTTAACTAAATATCTAATTTGTTCCTTTTTAATTAAATCAATCAGAATTCCAATTAATGTTCCTGGAAGAAAATGTTAATATACTTTAAATACAATTATATAATCGTATATAAAGTATGTTATTTTTTTTTTATATAATTATATATAATTTTATTTAATTATATGTGAAATGTTTTTTCCCGGGGCAATAAAACTTTTTCTCAGTACATGAATATTTCCGGATAGAGTTAGAATAAAGTCATGTTGAAATATAATTTGTTCGCTATATTTTCCGTCAGATTGTACGTACGTGTCTTCGTTTGTCGGTTTTGTCAAGACGAGAACTCCCGTTGAAGAGCAGCGGCTAGGATAATCGCAAATGTCGAGGAGCGGGTTGCACGTCGTCGGTTCGTGCGCGATGCAGTTTATGATAATATTTAATCCGATTACAGTGAGACGAGTGTATGTGAAGTGAGCACACACTCGAGCGTACGAGTTCTCGGAGGTGGTATGGTCGGTACGACTAGTCGATGATTTTGTTCCGACTGTGTCGTCGTTCACGACGTAATCCAGTTACAGTCCGAGGTAACCGATGCCATGTCAATCCGCGTACTCTTTCGAGTATTTTTTTTATGAGTTTGCACTCATCGTAGGATCAATTTTTCGCGCAAATGATACCACGGGGTGATTTTGTCGTATGGATCGCTCGGATTTAACGTATTATTCGACATAATCCAGTTACAATCCGAGGTAACCGACGCTACGTCAGTCTGCATACTGTTTCGAGTATTTTTTTTTACAAGTTTGCGCTCATCGTGGGATCAATTTTTCACGCAAATGATATCGTGGGGTGATTTTGTCGCGCGGATTTAACGCGTCATGTATTCGACGTAATCCAGTTATAGTCCGAGGTAACCGACGCTGGGTTAGTCCGCGTACTGTTTCGAATATTTTTTTACGAGTTTGCTCATCGTGGGATCAATACGCTATCAATCTTCCGCGCAAATGATACCACGGCGTGATTTTATCACGCGGATTTAACGCGTCATGTATTCGCATGTTAACGAGATTGGTCGTCAATGTTCACGTTCGTCAATCAATATGTCATTCATTCATCCGCAGCGCACATCGATGTCATTCATCAGCCTCGCGCCGCCTATGTAATTAATCAGTCGATTAATTGTTCTTCGTGATTCTTCTCGAAGTTGCGCATTGTAAAGGAAATGGAATTTGTACGATTTAATCGTAAACAGAATCGAACATATTCATCAAAATGTTCGATTGAAGTGCTTCGTTCGACATGAACTGTAGTCATTCGTAGAGGTCTGGCTATCGAAATATCGAAGTTTCTGTAGATCGAGTGTCGTCTCTTTGTAACCAGTTGACCATTTCCATCTGTAGTTAGGAAACTGAATTACGAATAGGGTATCTCAAGAAAGCATTATTTGGAAAATAATACTGTACACTTATACTATACGCATGCACGATAAAACATTAAAACATTAATCATGAGTCACAAGTGCCACGATCCTCCGTGAATCATTATTAGTTTGTGATACCTATATTGAGAAAACAAAAATAGTTGTGGCAACTATAAAGTACAACTCTAAAATTTAAATACTTGCAACTAGTTTTAAAAAGTAATAAGAACTGAAGTAATATCGAATACTATAAAATATATAGAATACTGAATATTTATATAGTACAATACTACAAAAATATTCAGTACTATTTTAGTTTTGATTACTTTGTAAAATTAATTGCAAATACTTAAATTATTAGAGTTGTTAATTTAATAGTCAAACCTATATTTTTTTCTGAGTGTATAATTATCGGTATATTAAAACTTTGCTGATCGCGATCACAATTAATCTGTGCCAATCCTCGGAACGGTGATATTGCAGAATTCGGAAAGTTCGCTTCGAGCTTTTTAATCTTCTTTTTACGAAGACTTGCATCGAGGTAGCTCGTGACAGGGTGACAGTAATCCGCATTTCGCTTCGATCAAGGAATTAAAAAACTTGTCTTCAGTTCCGATCGAAACTATATGAATGAAATCCAATATAGTCCTTCCGTTGTTTTATCGACAAAACTACTACTATCTGTAGAATCGAATCCGAGGAAAAAGTAAGCTGCTAACTACGTAGAAGATGAACGATCGAAGAGGGAAAGAATGTATGTGAGGAATTCAGATATCATTTAAATCGATTGAACTAGTGCGACGTTTTGCAGCTTCCTTTTCAAATGATTGATATATACACATATACGAATTGTATAGCTTTTACTCACGGAAATTTACAAAAGTGTGATATACAAGTTGCAGAAGTAGTAAACGGTAACGTAAACGATTCCTACAATTGGAAGATCTGATCGAACAAAGAATAGATCGATTGAAGTGCTTCGTTAGATTGTGACTGAAGTGTTTCTATTTCGAATTGTTCGCGCGAGTGATCGCAGTGAAGTGTTGTGGTATCGAAGGATGGAGAGGAATCGGAGGAACGCGAGATCGCATAAACGTGGGAGGACAGGATTTGCGTATTCGTGCGTTTCCTCTTGAGAGGCTGTGCGACGTGCTTCCAAACGTATATTCGTGTGTTAAGTACGAGTACGTCAATTGATCACGAATCAGCAAATAGAGTGTCATTGGTGATGTTCGCCGAGCGATGGGGAGATGTGCGTAATATAAATTTGCCAATCAACGCGCGAGAGAGAACGTGGAACGTGCTAACGCATTTTTCGCGCAAACGGATTCCCAAATCTCCAAATAACAGCTATCGAAACATACCGTTAAATCATCGATGGACATCCACCAAATGCGAAGTAACGAAAATCAAAAAAAAATATCCATCACACATTTAAAAATAATAATTATTTATAATTATATATCTGATTCTCATTAATCTTCATTATTTCTTGTTACTGAATTATAAATTCTTGAAGTAAAAACTTTAAATACTTTAAACTTTACACTTTACTCTTTAACAATTTTTAATTTTACACATAAGCTAACTTTATTTATATTTATTAAATTTTTATATTATTAATTTTAATTAAAACCAAAGTATATTATTGTTAATAATATTATTAACTAATTAATCTTTTCTAGTTGAAGTAATTTAAAATGAATTTCTAATTCATTATTTTATGAAAAGTTTATCCCATTGGCTTTTATTCAATCGTATGACTTACACTTTTTAATCGAGTATCCGATCGAGTAATCCGGGCATTGTATGTGGAAATCCCACAAGGGAGAGTGTCAGATGGAGTGACTGTATCGAAGGATTGAAAGCTGAATTAAAAGTCAGAAGAGATCGACAAAATGGGACGATCGATATGTTCGAGCGTCGTGTAAGATTCAGCTAAACGACAGAGGGAATTTTGGGATCACAGTGGTTAATCGTCGTGATCGATCGAACTTTGAAACGTCGCGGAGTGAACTGAACGACGTGTCGAGGGGCACTGGAGAGCCACTCGGAAGAACCATCATCAACGAGAAAAGAGGAAAACGCGAAGGCGAGAGGTCACGTATGCTTGTATTTTTACCCTCGCGGGAAATCAGCGTTCGTGGAGCGGAGCTGTCGAGAGATACACAGGATAGCGAGACGTCGTTCTTTATCACGATGGTTGGCAAATTGATAACAAGTCGATCGTTACGCCTTGCGGAAACGAGCCTCGTCTAACAGAAAGAGAAAGAAAGCGCGTCAAAGAATACGTTCCTCGAGACGACGGAAAAATCGCTCTTCTCTTGGCATTCATCGACATTCGTTTCAACTACACGCTCGGAAATTATTTTCGAGCTTCATGGCACATATAGCAATGTGTTTTCCTGTGCTGTTCGTTGCTGATCAAAAGAACAGCTCGGTCATCGTACGAACGTGCAGTGAAGAAAGGAGCTCGCTTTTAAACATAGAAGCGTAAAGACGTCGTGGTTTGACGATAAAAAATTGCGGGCAATCCGAAAAATTAGAAAGGCTGAAAGGTGAATTCTGAGAGCAAACGAAAGTAACGGCACGAACGAAAGGATATAAATTCTAAATAAGATCTAACTTTTTCTCTTCGCTTTCTTCTTTCGGGAACTTTCGGCGCGGCAATTTATGCGCGCATCACCCTTCAGAGTGGCTTAAGGATATCAAAAGGGATTCAAGATGTGCCTCGGCCTCTCTCGCAAGATTGCCAGGAGTAATAGAACCTTTATCGGGAACAGAGAGAAATGAAGTTATCAGTGTCGGCTTACACAGCTCAGGCCAGTGCTCATAAGAATCTTTGCAGCTATCATCAACAGCGGAGCTACGGGGCCACGAATCAGGCGTCCACGGCCCGGACCCCCTCAGACCTCGCGACGGTCCTTCCTGCTCTCAAGGTTTGTACATCAAGGCTAGTAAATAAATGGAAATAAAACATACTCTGCTATAGTTAACGAAATTAATTTATAAAGATTGCCGATAAGCGAGTAAAATCGATGCATAAGACAACATTAAGATATCTTTCAAAATTTTTTATTAAATATCTTTAAGATGTTTCTTAAATAATTCTTGAAGATACTTCAAAGAGAATAATACCTCAAAGTTGTCTTATGCATCGATTTTAGACATTCTACTCATTAGGTAATTAAGAAAACAATTTCGAATTTGTCCACTCTATCTGCTCACAAGCGATGTATTAAAAAGTTTTGGAAGCCTCGTATACATTAATTATACTGTAAATACATAAATTATAAAATTAATAATAAAAAATTTTAAATTGTTACTAAATATTTTTATCATGATTTTAAGTATTTATATAATGAAAAATTATATAATAAAATTTAATACATAAATTTCTAGATAAAAATATTTACATTTTTATCTAAAAATAGTAAAATATAAATAGTTTGCTTCGATGAGTACACGAAGAGTCATCGCTGAGTATAATACTGTTATGTCTAAAACCCTGGAAAATTTAGTCCAGGAAATGAGGGAGAATGGAGAGGATATGGAAGGACGGTTAGACTCACTGTCAGGTACACGCACAGAGGCGAACACTTGTGAGTTGACCTTTTACGGTCCCGGAATATGAGTCAACGTCCCAAAAGGACGCTATGACACCTGTTCCAATGTACACTGCGAACGTCGGTCCTACTTTTAGGTCAAAGAACTTAATCCTTTTGATCCGGGACAAGATCATGTACGATCTCAGGTATTAAAGGAATGGGATACGAGTGCTTTAAAATAAATTCAAATTAAGAAGGATATTCATTTAGAATAAAAATAAAAAACTAGATATTATATTACTAGATAGAATATTATAAAAACAATAGGCAACTAAGAGCTAGTACATAATTATTATTATTGTTATTATTATTATTATTATTGTATGTTACAATTCTTCTTTATTCTTCACCTGTACATATATTTTCGTTTCGGCTGCTTTTTTTAGCCATCTTCAGCCATCATGGTATAACATTCAGCATAATATTCTAAAATTTAAATGCAATTATTGTGGATGTAGGCACCAGGGCTCGGTAAAATAACTGATACGACTTATTTAAAATATAAAATCGTAGAAGTCGGTAAAATTTCTGATACGACTTATTTGAAATAAAAAATATAAAATAGGTTCCAAGAACTTATTTAAATAAGGAATAGGAAGGTCACAAGAAATTATTTAAAATATAAAATAAAAAATAGGGCCCCTAAATAAAATACATTTATTTATTTAAAATACAGAATAATTTTTACTTAAAATATAAAAATAACTTGTCTTTTATTTTAAATAAATTTTCGGAGGCTATTTCTCAATTTAAATAAAAAATAGATTGGAAACTTACTTAAAATATAAAGTAACAAATATGTATTTTAAATAAATGTTTCAAATAGTATTTAAATAAAACATATTTTGATGATTTTGTTTATTTGAATATACAAATACGTTTCTAAATATAACGTTTCAATTTTGTTTATAGCTATAGCCTATAATTGATTCTTAATAAATTAACCTTTCGCGAATCAGGTGAAAAATCAGTATAGATTATATGTGGATATAATCTCACACTCCACACGTATAATACTTCATTATAAATAATTTAATTATTCATTGTCACTTTTACCGACGGATTGATAACATTAATACAATTAATACAACTTATTTAAAATAAAACATATAAAATAAGTTCCAAAAACTTATTTAAAATATTAAATAAGAAATAGGTCAAAAAAAGTTATTTTAAATAATAAATACTAAATAACTGTTTAATTTTTTTTTTATTTAAAATGTATATTTTAAATAAATTTATTTGAAATAAGAGTCCTGGTAGACGCAATTAACCTCGAATAGTTATTCATTAGATTATATGTATAGTTCTTCTTAACAAATCAAGATTTGTAAGATATAAATAATCTCATTTTATGTTAACAAAAAAACTGCTTTCTATGTGTATTCAATTTAAAAAAACTTACCGTTGTACTAATAACTTGCACCTCCATTCTATTACGTACAATTAAAATTACAAATTATATAAACTTTGTCGCTTAGATATGTGTCTCTTCGTCCGTGTCTACGTAACGTTTAAAATTATAATATAAATTATAAATATATGGAAATTTGATGTGTAGATCAATATTTAATATTGAGTTAAAATAAAATAAATACAAAAATAATGTCAGTTTGACAAATATACCAATAATCTAATAAATAAAATATATAACATCTTTTTTAAAAAAAATATAATGTTAATTATTAAACTGATTGAGAATTGATGTATGTAATACATGATGAAAAAATTCCGTGTCAGTTTGCAAATTGAGCGCATTCTTTTGCAATTTTATGTGTATCATTTTAGATAACTAATCTCTTTCCCAGATATCTCTCTCTCTCTCTCTCTCTCTCTCTCTCTCTCTCTCTCTCTCTCTCTCTCTATCTTTGAGTCTCCCAATCTATCGCATGATTATGTTGTAACCCATGTTCAGCTATGACATATCTAATACCATTGTTCTTGTGTAACTGGCTTTTATGTTCGTTAATTCTTGTACTCAATTTCCTTTTAGTTTGTCCATAAGTTGCATCACAATCTTTACACAGTACTTTATATACAAGCAGTCTTTACTGTTCATTAACGGAAGAACATCTTTCTGAGCTCTGATCACACTTCCCAATTTATTTTAATAATTAAAGATATTAATAAAAAACCATTGTATATCTTCTTATTATCTCCTCTTGTCTTATCAACTTGTTAAATAGTTTTTTAATCTTTCATTTATTGAAAATTTTAAAGGATAATCATTATTCAAAATATGTCAATTAAAAGAGATTTTTATAATGGTATCTAGAATGTGAAAGAAGTATTGTTCCATCTACAGCATTCATTATAACACCTTTTTTTTGAAAAGAAAGGCATTAATAATAACTGTATATTAGCTCTTTGTTACCTATTGTTTTTGTAATATTGTTTTTAATATTGAGAGCTCGATTAATTTATACACTATGAAAAAATTTAAATTTATTTATAAAAATAAAATTTAAGCTAAGTTTATAAACGAGTAGATAATCACTATTCTTAGAAAAAAGTTTTAACTTAATATTCCTTATTTGTTAGTTAATAAAAATTATTATTATTAAAATTATTATTAAACGGATCTATCATTAAAGTAATAAAAAATAGTCAATCAGAAATTTCCTTTATGGTTCTATGATCTTCAGAAGGAAACGGGGAATAGGAAGGAGAAGGAGATTGTGGTTCTAAAGATTTAGAGAGGGTTGAGAAGTCTGGAAGAGGAGAATTATCGGTCGGGAGGGGGGGGATCATGAAAAGTGGGGGTATGAATTTCAAATTTAGAGGATTGGGAATTTAGGATTAGTCGCGGCTCGACGAAATTATCATTGAACTTGTTTAGAAATGAAAGTCCCTGTTTTTATTGACGTTATAATGAGACACCTTATTAGAGCGATTTTTTCGCGTTTCTTACCGTGCGGTTTTTGACGATGGAAAGAGAAAGAATCGACAAATTCTTGGAACGGGTGAAAGCTCAAGATTCGCGATTAAAAGAGAAAGAATCGACAAATACTTGAAGCAGATGAATTCTTTCTCTTTTAATTGCGAATCTGGAGCGTCCATCCGCTTCAAGAATTCGTCTATTAATCGAACCATCTTTTTACTTTGAAGCCCAATGTAAGTCAGCTTCTATACTCGGTCATATAGACCAGAAATAAATGTGGCCACAGAATAACCTGATAAAGAAATCCAAACGTTGCGCCCTGGATGGGAACTGATAATCGATAGCGCATTACATCTGGGTGTGCGGTTGATTGGATTGGAAACGGGTGTATCGACGAATGAACACGACTACAGAACACATCTCGCTTGGCAGAAAGCGAATACCGGATAAATTAATGCCGCAAGCCACACACTGCAACATACTGATGTTCTCTCTCTCTCTCTCTCTCTCTCTCTCTCTCTCTCTCTCTTTCTCTCTCGTGCCGCGCACTCTTTAACCTTACCGTTAATGTACCACTCTCCAGAAATAAAGATGTCACGCACGGTCCGTGCGCAGCGCAGCCCAATTACCGCTGATTGCCCTTCGAACGTTCGCGCACAAAGTGCCCCTGCGGGACGAACGCTTCGAGAGAATCGGGACAAGCGTTATACGTCGCGTGACACGGACAATGGGACTTTAATTACGCGTATTTACTTAGGTCGAAATAGGAAGATTTTTAATAAAAATAATTTTAAGAAAAATTAAATTACTCTATTATTATTATTTTTTTTTTAGTTTAAAATTTATAAAACATTAATATTCTTTTAATATTAAACGGACTAAGATCGTCTTTTTTAAATAATTGCTAATTTTCTGACAAATTATCTAAAGTGCAAAATGATTCTCACTCTTTAATTTCGCAACCATTTGAGTAAATATAATGTTCATGTGGGAGTTTTAATTAAAGGGCTTCTCTCATTTAGCACGATTCCGTCACACGTGAGACTAATTCGCTAGATATCGGAAAACCTTGGCAAATCGATTGGTCAATTGCATGTTGTTTCCTTGAATTCTTATTTTACATCGACGCGACGTCTAATTGTCAGGTCGCGAGGTCATTATTTCTAAAGCTCTATTTTAATAAAAGTAGCGCAAAAGTCCATCATGTTGAAACCATGTTATATTAAAGAATTACTAAGCGCTTATTGAACGATAGAACTAATTAGGTAGAAAAATATTTTTTTCTTTCATCGCTAATATCATAAATTATTTTGTCTCTGCAGAGCTAAAATAAGAAATTTCGATCGCGCATTGCGGGATTTATTTGAAGAAAACAATCTTTTCGCTGGGATTGCAGTAAACAAACAGTGCAATACTATACGATTTTGTAATGAGTAGTCTCAACCAACGA